TGCTTTCCACTTGATAATATGATCACAAAGTCGGAAAAAAAGGTGACCTACAAAAATATTGGTCCATTCGGCGTGACTTCCACCCCGAAAATATTAAAATAACAAGGTTATGTAGGTCAAAAGCCCCAATACTTTGTAGGCCACCCTTTTTTTTTCTTTTTCGCTTTTGTAATCATATTATCTTACGATTCAAGTGAAAAGCAAACGGGTTTTCATGAGTTTTTAATATCTAATTAAATAGATAAAGTTTGTCGATCTTCAGATTAAAAACGATCATATTCTGAGAATTTTCGTTAATAAAATATTTGCAGGTTTCGATGAAATTAAGCTATTTACGAAGTTTCCTGCAGATGTTAATAATTTCATAAAAAGGGGTCAATACCACCGGACTATAAGTAAATATAAACTATGAAAGAATTAAATATAACTAACTAAAGGAGAAAATGTTTTTCCATATTGAAAACAAATTTCTGAAAATAATTCACAAAATAAATACAAATATGTTTTGACGTAACATATTTCATCACAGATATGAGCCTTTCAGTTGACATAGTGACTAACTCCATTTACAACATTTGTTATTATTAATTTTAGTGATTTTTCTGGTGGAAAAATTTATACTTTTATTCACAATTCTATTTCAACTCTGGAATCAATTAACTCTCTGTCTGTACAGATATACATTTTCCAACCAGAGATATCACTAAAATGACTTTACTCAAAAACGTTGAAATTGGAGTTAACCTATTGGAGCCGATCTACGGGTGGGGGGAGGAGGAGGGCTTTCGGGCTGAAGCCCCCTCCCACCCCCAAATGGTAAAATATAATCATGTTTTATGGAAATAAAATAATAAAAAAAATATCTCTTAAAGTATTATTGTTCGTGTAATTACATTTAAAAGGATTTTAGGAATCACTTTCATATAGGTAGTTAGTTTTTTTTCCTAAATAATTTTAGTTATTCTTATGAAAAAAAAAAAACTTTTCGGGGCGAAGTCCCCCAAAATTAAATCCTGGATCAGCTAGTGGTAGAACGAACTATATACTTTGTAGTAAACATTCCCCTGTATTTATTCCTTTAGTTGACATTGTGTGAGGGAATGAGAAGGAATATATAATATATAGGAATGTGAGGTTGCACTGTGAATTTTACTCAATTGTGCAGTGGACAAATTGCTCATTGGAAAATCTCATATCGATAAACAATCGATAAAGAAGGAAAAAGGTCCGATCAGGTAGCAGCAGCTCGAAGAGGACGCCAGGCACTTGAGGCTGAACACATACCTGGGAAGAGAGGCAACTATAAGATTTAGAATATCAAGTCTATAGTTATAAGACTTTAATAGAGTCAATTTATTACAGTTGTAGAAATAAATCATTTTGTTAGACAGGAGTGAATAGTCCTTTTATTTAGTTGTCCTATAGGCCTCACGATTGAAGAATAACAAAAACCAGGTGAGTCAATTCATTCAAAGTGTATTTACTCAGTCCCACATTGTATATATATATATATATATGTTCTTATTGTTTCTTGTCACGCAGTGTCACAAAAGGTATTAGGTTCCCGAATTTCCCAACGACAGTTAAACACCCTCAAAAAGTCTATATCCAGTGCCGGGGTTTTATCTTAATATTCACGAGTGTAAATTACCTAAATCCTCGATATGAAAGTGGAAGGCTATTCGTTATTCCCGCCAAAAAACAAACTATTAACAATTAACTTTTAACAGGTTATTTACAACTTCATGGAAGAAAGATTAGGAAAAACAAAAAAATATTAAAATTAACTCGAGTATTTACTTAGGTTAGGTTAATTATGGTCAAGTTTTGTAAAGGTTATACAGTACTTAAGTTTTCAAATTAACTTATCCTAGAGGTTCAGTTTAGCTTTCAGCAGTACACGAACGGGATGAGGTTTTAATTGGGAACGGAGAATCGCACGGTATGCCCTACGCAATGGATCTAACAATAGTCACCCGGCACACAGCGGCAGCCTTCCTTCGTGCCAACGTTCGGGAATGGAGTTTCGACTCTTCGATCCCTTCTCCTCAGTCTGGATCGATTTATCACCCTCTCAGAGGAAGATGTCTGATGTTCTTTTGCTGCCTTTTCTCGATTTAGATCTGTTATTGTTATCGCCATAACAGTTTTCTCGCATTAACGATTGTTTACGAATACTTCGCAGTTGTTTTTAGAGAGCCAATGCGAAACAGCGGTTACGACACTGATTGAAATAAGATCGAGAGATCAGCTGTGTTTATAAACGTATTGTGTCACGTATTGGCAGGACGTTTTATTGCGAGTTATTGTGGCTCAAACAACAGATTAAAATAAAATGAATGAATAAACAATCGCATGATAACTAAATCATAACATCAACATGTTTTCTTTAAAAAACAAAACAAATTCCATATAGGGTCAGCGTACAAGTGAGCACGGGCGGATCTACGGGGAGGGGGGGGCCTTTCGGGCTGAAGCCTCCCCCAAAATGGTATAATATAACCATGTTTTATCGGAAAAAATATTAAAAAATTATCTCTTAAAGTATAATTATTCGTGTAATTACATTCAAAAGGGCTTTAGGAATCACTTAAACACCAGTTCATATAGGTACTTAGTTTCTTTCTTATTTTCCTAAGTAATTATCGTTACTTTTATGAACAAAAAAGCTTTCGGGCTGAAGCCCCCTCCAAAATTAAATCCTGGATCCGCTAGTGCAAGTGAGGACATATATAAAGAAATGTTTGTCATTTTTGGCTTATGCCGCCGTAATTATTATAGTTTTAAACTCCTCCATTGAATATTTAGAATCCCTCGGGTCTCCCTTTTCTATTAAATATTTAAAAATTGAAAAAATATTCATAGTCCGTGGTACAGACCTCTTTTTATCGAATTATTAGCATCCGCCTGAAACTTCGTAAATATTTTCATCTCATCATAACCTACAACTATTTTATTTACGAAAACTCTTACAATTGAGGCGTTTTGAATCTGGAGGGGGGCAAACTTTGTCTATTTAATTAGGTATTAAAAACTCGTATATACTCATTTACTTTCTACTTAGATCCTTTGGCCGATTTCCCTAGTTCTACTTACGATAATAATTTTTTTCATTAGGAAATTCGTGTATGAGGATGAATTTCCCCTATATTTCTCTTTTCTTTAAATAGGTGTTTTTTCGAATTTTTTTTTACATCATCCGGAGAAGGGCCCTTTGGTAGAATTTGCTAGTGCTGGTCACGATAGTAACTTTCTTTTTATATTCCATTAGGAAATTCGTTTATGGAGATGATTTCTTCCTACATTTCTCTTTTCTTTAAATGGGTGCTTTTTGTCACTTTTTTCGGATTTATTTCCACCATCCAAGGGAGGGTGCGCCCCCTGGCTGAATTCGCTAGTGCTGGTCACGATAATAATTTTTTTATATTATATTAGGAAATTCATCGTGAATGAGGATGAATTTTCTCTCTATTTCTCCATTCTTTAAATAGTCGTTTTTTGGAAAAAAAATTCTGCTTCCGAGAGGGAAGAGGGGGGAGGGCGCGCGCCCCCCGGCTGGATCCGCTAGTGCACACATTTGAAGTTATTTGTGTGAATAGTTAAATTAAAAAATATAACGGTATGTACGATTAATTGAGGCATTGACATGGAAAAAGTCATTTCACAGGAGAAGCAAAAAACCGCCATGACATTTTTGTTTAACTTAAATCGTTTTGACTATTATTCAGTTGTTATTTTGCTTTGGTTTATTTTAAATTTTGTGTATATATAGCGTGGATGTAGTATTATCTCACTATAATCATTATCCATGTGACGGAATATTATATTACTTAATAACACAGTCGGATCTACGGGGGGAGCTTTCGGGTTGAAGCCCCCTCTCCCCCCCAAATGGTAAAATATAATCATGTTTTACAGAAAAAAAATATTAAAAACTATCTCTTAAAGTATCCTTGTTTGTTTAATTACATTTAATAGGACTTCAAGAACCACTTAAACACTATTTCATATAGGTAGTTAATTTCTTTCTTTTTTTTCAAATTAATTATCGTTATATGTATATGAAAAAAAAATCATTCGGGCTGAAGGCCCTCCCTTCCAAAATTAAATCCTGGATCCTCTAGTGCTTAATAAATAAAATAAAAAAGCCGTTCATAAAAACTAAACCACTCCCGGTATTTAAATTTACTAGTCTTTCTATTCCATTGAAATGAATTATTACTACCTTTTCTATAAAAAAATCGAAAAATTATCTTTTTTATGACTTACTACCTTTTCCAGACTAATACTTCAATTATAATTTTGGGAACGAACTGCAGGATTCTAACGTAATTTAGAACACTCCTAGAAGGTTAAAAAACACATGAAAAATAAAAAATACAGTAGAGAATACATACCTTCCGAAATGTTATATTTCAAAACAGAAATAAACATAGATAGAAAGTAAACTGAATATATAAATAAGTAAAGAAAAGCAAGACAGTTTAAAACGATGTTATTTCGAATGGAACCATTGCCTTAAACACCAATGGACTGCAGAACCAATCGTGATATAATCACTGCATAAAGAAACACGCTGCAGTCCATTGATGAATTTAAGAAGGTTTTGATGGATTTTCGATACCATCGATGAGCTCAGCGCTGAGTTCAGAAACTTGCTCATCTATTTTGATTGTGTGCAAGAATGAAGCATTACTGAATGCTTCAGTATGATAAGAATTGAAAATTATATACATAAATAAATGACATATTTCACTTGTTTCAATATTATTTCTAATATGGATATATTTAAAATCAACTAAGAAAGGACAAAAGTTGAAAATACTTTTCTTATTGATAAGTTGCACAAACTGCTCTTAATACTTGCCATGGCGGAAATTTCACAACGCTTCATTAATTATTTAATACTCGATAATACTTACATATTCATTTCACTAAATATTTTTAATCTTTTTTTTTTAACTTTCCTTAAGGATCTTTATTTTGTTTTTACCTATCAGTAACAATTCTTGATGATCATATGAAATATTTAAAGCTTTCTAAATCGTACTTTTATTGATGTTACCATGATAATGGAGGCATCAAGTTTTTTAAAACCTATTTTCACCAAAATTTCAAAAAATATATCATTAAAATGACTATCCGAAAAGTTAAACTAGTTGTAGGTTATAACTTCGCTGAAGGAAGAATATGAAAATTTTAGGAGGATATCGAACAAAAAAGAATAAAATATTCTTTTATTCAGCTTCACTGATTGGTGGGTTAGTAATTTTCTTGTTAAACTACTTACTGTTTTTCATTTTGCAACAGTTAGGAATTACAGTTAAAAGCTTAATATTGTAGTAAGTAAATTTAACATTCACTTGGTTATGTTCACTCATAAACATACTAGAAGGTTGTACTTATATATTTTGCCCTTTCTAGAAAGTTTAAATGATAATTATACATGCTTTGAGAATAAATCAATTTTATCCCTTCTGAAGATTACCTGGTTTATGTTATTGAAGTTCTTTGCTGTAATTTTCAAAGATTTAAGTAGGAAATGAAAATTGTTTATGTATTAAATTAAATTTCAAATGGTTTAGAAGTTTTTAGCCTGATTAAGGTATGTGTATTCAGTTATATATAGATGAAGGAAGTTTAGCACTAATTTTATTGGCATTTACCATTGTGCAAATATCAATGTAATGTCTCATCAATAATTTAAATCTTCCAATACTTTATAATTAATACTCCTCCAATACTCCTCTTTAAAAGTAAGGAGTAGCAATTTGAAATTTTTGCTGTTAAATAGGAACTCCTATTCCTTAACAAAATGAAAATTCATATTAGAATTTACTTAATATTTTGTTACGATTAGTTAAATTTTGCAATTTTTGCCTCACTCAATTGTGAATGAGTAGGTGGTTTAAAGTGTTTTAAGTCTAGTTGTGACATTTTGATGTATTGATTTTTTTAAAAATTAATCCCGCCATGTCGTTCAATGCTAAACATTGCATGACAATTGTGATATTCTATTGGCATTTATGTCTGGATTACAATCTAACCCTTAAAAGAAAAAAGAAAACTTTTATCAAAGTGCCTATGTTTTAGCTTTTCCCTGTAAATTGAAACAAAAATTAAGTAGTTTGTTCCCTTAAATATAACCCTACTGTATTTATATTGTTCTATAAGTTTGTATTTAACTTTTTTTTTTTTTTTTTTTTATAGAATAGGTCTATTTCTTCTGGGAATCAAGCAAACTGCTGCATATTTAAATACAATAGTTGATTCAAGTGTTTTAATGAGAAAAAGAAATTCGGATTATATATTTTTAGAAAATGTTCCATATGAAGGTACCTTTTAATTTTTTTTTCCTTTATAATTTCCCTCCTGAGAATTATTTACTTCAAATAAAATATCCTTTTACATTTTCAATTTGCATTTAAATCTGCAATAAGTATATTTAAAACAGGACAATCGCCTAGATCAGAAGTTCTAAAAGACCATCAGAATTAAAAAAAACAAACAATTTTTATAGAAGAGGAGTTGGTGGGGGTGTGCAGTCACAAGTAACAAAGTAAAAATAAATAATTATTTATAATTATAATAAATACATAATTTATTTATTTTTACTTTGTTACTTGTGACTGCACACCCCTACCAAATCCTCTTCTATATATTCACCACAGTCAACAATTATTCCACTGTCATTAAAACAAAATTTTACTTTAACTTCGAATTCACTGATTTTTTTATTTTATTCAAATAACAATAGTTGTTACTTAACTAGTCATTAAAATGACCCAGGTTTCGAAAAGGTCTGTAAAAAAAAAAAAAAAAATTCAAGAATAAGTCAGTAAATTGCATAAGTTAAGTTAAGTAACCTGTTCATGTATTTATATATATACAAAAAATAAATACTTTGTTTATGAACTAACCACGTTAATTTTATTATAGAAATTAATTTATTAGAATATATCTATAGGCACAGTGCAAATTGCCTGCGAGAACGATTTCTTTGGAAAATGATGTTTTCAACTTTTCGAGTCAATCTTGACCTGTTGCATATTCTGATCCGACACAATGAAATCTACGATGTTCCATTTCTTCTCCTCTATGGCCTTCTGTAAAACTCTAACTTTAAAACCAGCAGATTATGATGTAAACAACTGTAAGTTACAGTGAAGGTTATAGAGATTGTTTCATCATAAAAAAAAAAAAAAAAAAATGAAATGCTCGATGAAAGGTGGTTGTGTAAATATAGAATGTATATAGTGTTTTGAGCATAAATTACAGTATCAATTAGCTTTATTTATAGACTAAAATTAATTTTTCTGAAATGCTTTGTATTCATTTTTTAAATTTCTAATAAATGGTGGGAACTTCCAGCCTCTGCGCAAATTCCCGGGTTCCCTTGCCCTAAAGTTGGCACTGCTTACCATGAAACTAGATGAAGCAAAGAAGGAGAGGTAATATTGAACAGTCTTCAAAACAATCGAAACCTCCTGGCAACTGAAAAATGAGCTTGACTGGAAAAAAGCTACAATACCGCCGATTTCCAGATAGTGAGAGACAGAGAATTGATTTCATTTGTTGGAAAATTTAACATGATTTGATAAAAAGAACTCTAGTTTCATCTTATTAAAACAATGAATCGACGAAATTGCAAGAAGCTCAGAAACAAAGTGATCTACACATTAGTAGGTTACCTAGAACTTACCATGCATTTGTGAATCAAACCGTGTTCATATGGAATAGAGTACATTAAAAACAAAACTTTCATAGATTACTCCAAAATGGGGTGCATGCACCCCGTTCGAGTCGCCCTTACAGTGAGAAACGTTTTACAAATTATCATCTGAAGTATCTTTTCTCTAAATTTTAGAAACTGACTTTGTTCCTTTCATGATTCGATCATTATTAACAAAGTTTTGGGTGTTACTACAGTAAATTTGATTGCTTTTACCTAATACCTGTTTTTCAAAGTAACTAAAAAGCTATAATTTAGAATTAATGGCTCTAAATGAAAAATTTGGCTAAAATACAATCAAAAAAGTTTTATAGAACATGTTAATAAATAATATAAATCAATATCAGTATGTTATCAAATAAGTATGTTCAAATATTTTCAATGAAAAATTTCCTATAAAAATATTGTTTGTTTTAATGTTAGCGTTTTGGTTTTAGAGAAAGAAGAATTTAAATTGCTCACCTGGTGGAAAAGAAAGAAGAGATTGTTGCCATGGCGCCTTTTAGAAATTGCGAATGCTCCAGATAATAAATTCAGAATGAAAGCACTACATAGTTTGGCTGCTATTAAAAATCTTACAGGTAGCAATTTGGATAAAAATTTCTTTGTACATTTTTAATATCTAAAGTTTTAGTTTTTTTAAAAATTTTATTTATAAAATTTAAAGATTATCAATATCAACACATGGCTCAAGCTATCACACCGCAGACTGCCGTTTCATTAGCTCGTATAAGAGATGTTGACCAAAGGTTTTTTTTTAGATGTACAGCTCCTCTTCGATATGAAAGCAAACAGGTAAGTTACAATATTATGGTATTAAATGTTATTGGACGATTCTATTAAAGTTATATTTTTAAAATGAAAGATAGGTGGCGATCATAGTTTTTAAATAATATTCTTGCAAACTTATTGAGCTTTTAATTAGGTTTTAAGAGATATGTTTTTCGCTGAGGATCAGGTCGTCTTTGCAAGAGGGAAGGTCTATCTCAAAGTAATGGTATTTCAGCTGAATAAAGCTGGAATGTGGAAAGCTGAATGTGACCTGATTGAAGGGTTAAAGGCCGTTACAAACCGACTAGATTAAAGATCAACTTCGAGAAGACCAAATACATGGCCATAGGTGATACGGATACTGGAACACTTCTAGTGGAAAAGGAGACCTGCAAAAAAAAGTTAATATTTTCAAGTACTTGGGCTCTTATCTCAACGCTACAGGGTTGTCTGAACATGATGTCAGGAAGAAGGTGGAGCAAGCCTGTAAGGCTACTCGAATCCTACATCCAGTTCTCTGGAACACACAGCTTTCCACCGAGAACAAGCATAGAATATTCACAGCTATAGTGAAAGCTATTCCTATATATTCCTCAGAAACATGGACTATGAACTCCCGTTTTTACTCAAAGGTGCAGGCGGTCGAGATTGATAACTAGCGAAGGTGTCTCCGTCTTACCAGATTGATTATATTAAGAATGAGGTAGTTAGAGAGAGAATGGATGTGGGTACAGCAGTTAATGAAAAGATCGGGGCACGCTGCCTTAGATGGTAAGGGCATGTGAGAGGAATGTTGGCCAAGCCGAGTCCTGGATTAGATCCCTCCAGGGAAGAGAGGACATGAACGGCCCAGAAAGCAGGTGGATGGAGAGGGTCCAGGAGGAAATGGCGGGTCGAAGTCTGGAGGAAGAGGATCGGCGAGATAGAGACTATGTGAGACAACCCTTAAATGGAACGCCTATAAAGTAAGTAAAGAGATATGGGAAAATACATAAATAAGTATCCACATTAAGTTATTGATGGTACATTCTTTATATCAGGATTCTTAGGGAGTATTCCAATTGAACGTAATTGGTCGTTCCTTGAGAAAGTAATAAAATAGGTAGACACTTTAAGCCCGGTCCTATTTACAAATGGTCATCTTAAGGACAGTGTTCATTTGAGAGCTGTGATTAGGCTGTTGATCCGGGAGCTCATGGCAAAAAAGGTGTCTTATTGCATGCTAAGGTTTGTCCTTATGAATTGCCCATGTTCACAGGCTTAGTGAGAAAAATGCATATCTGCCAGCATATAGCCGGTGGAATACAAAGTAGCGGCCAGGTGAAGATAGAGACCCTATATTGGTAGAAAACTTATATAGGGTGATCAGGATTAAGTGGCCGAACTGTGGAAATGAACTAAGATTCTCAAAACAAGAAAACAATTTTCTCAGAAGGTATGTCTGCAAACACTTTGTTTAGGAGATATTCACACCTAAAGATTTTCGTTATTATGAATTATTTACGTCATATAAAATAAATGAAACCTATTTATTTGTTCTAACTACTTTCTTAATTAAATGTAAACATTAACATTCATATTAAATGTTGTTCATAGTGATTTCCTTGAGCATTAAGACAGGCTCATCATCTTTCTTCAACAGCAGCAGTGGCCGAACGGCACTGGATATCTGTTATTGTTTCACATGATTCAATTATCATTCCTCATTAGGAATTAAGGTGATTGATCGGACTTGCATAGACTTTTTGTTTAATGTTACCCCAAACAAAAAAATCCAGTGGTGACAGATCTGGAGAGCATGCAGGCCAAGCCAATGGTCCTGCACGGCCAATCCATTGATTGGGATAATTAACATTTAGCCATTGTCGTGGACCTCTTCCGTAATGTGCAGGACAATCATCTAATTAATGTCACATGTGCCTTCCCAGTTGTAGTGGAATATGTTCAACTAAATCATAGTAATCATTATTAAGAAATTCCAGAAATGTGCCCGCATTGAATCGAGGCGGCAAGAAATGTAGACCTATTAAAATAATGTCTATTATCCCTGCCTTCATCATTGCATTCTGTCTATCATTGCAATGACCTTAATTCCTTATGAAGAAGGATAATTGAACCTTGTAAAACAATAACTTCCTTAATGTCCAAGGAAATCACTTTGAACAACATTTAATATGAATGTTAATGTTTACATTTAATTAATAAAGTAGTTATTAATTAAACAATGGACTAGACCCACCGACCTGCGAGAGCTGTAAGGTGGAAAGAACTGGCCAACACATCATTCAAGACTGCTCAGTATTTAAGAATGTAAGGAAAAACGTCGATATGGCTCAGAGCCTAAAAGAAAACCTCAGTGACAATGAAAACCCCGTGGAGAAAACCTTACAATTTTTAAAAATAATAAAGTTCTACAATAGAGTATAAATAGGAAGTGTTGCCAATGACCCTGCAGGGTAGAGGCAACAATAAAAACAAATAAATCAATAATTAAACAAAGTGTTTGCAGAAATACATACCTTCTGAAAAGTTTTTTTTCTTTCTTGTTTTGAGATCCTTAGTTCATATTTTCAGTTTGGCCACTTAACCCTTTTTTAAATAGAATATTTGTAGGTTATGATAAGACAAAGCTATTTACGAAGTTTCAGCCGGATGTTAATAATTTGATAAAAAGGGATCTGTACCACGGACTATACCTCCCGACCTTCTGCTGTAAAACATGATTAAATGTTATCAATGATTACATTTTATGTTAATGATAAGAATTATTTTAAATGATGATGGCCGGTGTGCCATGCCAGTGAATATCTATGAAGATAAAATCTAAAATTGGACCTGGTCAAAGGGGATACTTTGAGAATTTATTTCTTTAGGAATATTCATAAATACGGTCTTGGTGTTTTTTTCAGCAGCATATTTTCTCTATTGTTAGTGATCTATGAAGATAAATATTTTTTAGAATGTATGATTTATTCATTTTATATTGTGTATTTATAAATTATGTAAAATTTTGTTTACTAAAATTTATTTTTCCTAAGATAAACTATTTTTCATGTTTTTTTTTTTTTTTTTTTAGGACCTAATTGTTTTGATGAGAGATCTTCTTTATAAATTAAATAAATTAACAAGACATCCTTGCTTGAAATACTTCATAAGTAATATATTTCCGACATTTCCAAAATTTCAGGTTTTTATTTATTTTTAAAATTATTTTATTATATTCTATCAGATTATTTTTCTCTTTGCCTTGTTATAAAACTTTAGTTAACCCTCTTTTCATCTCTACTTATTGTTAGAATTTTATCACATTTATTACCTTTCATTGCCGTTTTGGTATGTCTGTGAGCGATTTCTAGGTTTAGCTCATACCTATAGCTGCTAACTATAGCTATAGTTTATTATACTGTATAGTTAATTATAGGGATAGTTTTTCTTACAGCTTTTGATTGTTTGTTGCAACAGCTCCATATCTCACATTCGTGTTTGTTAGCGTACATTTTTTGGCCCCTTGTAATGTATTCAGAAGTATTCATGAGGAAATTAGAAATTAAGTCACAGTTTGAAAAGTGGTTAAACAAAAAAAAAAAACATATAAAGGAATCTTTTAAGATGTCTGAAGTTTAACAAAAATTAAATTACCAGTTAGTAATGAGATTTTTAGAGCTGTAAAAACTCTTTTCACCTTAATCGGAATGAATGAAATGAAACCAATGTGATCAGATAACTTTAATCGAAGGATTTAAAGCCCTCTATTGACAAAAATATAAAATTAATATCTGCTAACTGGCAGTGTTCCCACCTAAGTGTTAATTATTTTTGATGTTATTAAGAATATTTTTATTGATTATTAATGCAAGATCAATATAATCAACATGGAACCCACATACCAGACTTAAAAGACAACAACTTAGCAGACGATACGGACGGCTATATAGACTATTGAATCAACAACAAACTACTGATCTACAAGACAATACTGAAACCTATTTGGACCTACGTACTAATAGTACTGTGGGGGACAGAAAAACTTTCTAACATCAAACGCATTCAATCCTTCCAGTCTAAAGTCCTCCGATCAATAGTAGATGCTCCCTTCTATGTATCCAATAAAACCCTTCTTAATGACCTTCATATCCCATTTGTTCTTAATCCCCGACCAATTTTCCAAATTTCACCAGAACCTCTCTCACCATCCAAATCCTGTAGCACATTCCCTATCTAGCTCCAGCTATACCCCTTTTGCTGTAGTGCCCTCCATCAGTTTCCACTGGTTTCTAATACCAGTGATGCAGCTGGGAGAGAAGCACTAGGATCTCCTGGAGTCCTGCCTTGGCTTCAACATTGGCTTCAACAAAGCATGACTCAGACTCCCCTGGGTGAATGTAAATATTGTATATAGCTGTGAATGTGTTTTATTTACTTTAATCTCATTTAGCTTTTATCTATTATTTCATTTTTTGTACACAGGCATATTAATTTATTTATTTTATTTTTCTTTATTATCTCCATCTTAGTTATTATTTGTATGTACATATTGTGTGAATGATTAATGTAGCCCTAATATTAATGCCCTTTAATGTGGCAGAATGTATTTATATTCAATAAAAAAAAAAATATATATATATAATTATGTTTTAATTTGAGGTTCGTTCGGGTTTAAAACAGGGGGATTCCCTTTCGCCTGTCCTGTTCAATTTGGCATTGGAACATGCCATTAGCGAGGTAATGCGCGCCAAGAAAAGGTTGGATCTGGGTGGGACAACATCCGTGCTGCGCTATGCTGATGATCTGGTACTGTTAAGCGAAGACGTGCAAACTATAAAACTAAATACGACAACGTTAATGAAAGCCGGTAAAGAACTAGGACTCGAAATAAACGCAGATAAAACAAAATATATGGTTAGCTGCAAAAATGGCGATACTACTGGTGATATCAATATAGACGGTAATATGTTTGAACAGGTAGATAAATTTAGGTATTTAGGTTCTACAATAACTAGAAAAAACGAAATTGAAGAAGAGATTAAGGTTAGACTGAAGTCGGGAAATGCTTGTTATTTTTCTGTGACAAAACTACTCAGTTCGTGCCTCTTGTCCCGGAACTTAAAAATTAGAATCTATAAAACAATTATCTTGCCTACAGTTCTTTATGGATGCGAAACTTGGCCGCTTACATTAAGGGATGAGCAGCATCTTAAGGTTTTTGAAAATAAAGTATTGCGTAGAATATTCGGACCGAAGAAGGATGAGTTAACCGGAGAGTTCAGGCGGTTACACAACACCGAATTGCGTGAACTGTATCTGGGTAATATAATTGAGGTCATTTCATCGCGGCGAATCAAATGGGCTTGTAAAGTTGTTGGGCTTAGTAACGAGAGAATTCCCTAAAAGGTTAATATTTGCTGTGCCGAATGGTAAGCGTCCGAGGGGTAGACCGAAGCGAAGGTGGGAAGATTGCATTAAAGCCGATCTGAAGGGACTGGGTTTGGATGGCGAACGGTGGAGGGAAGTGTGTAATAAGCGATTGGTGGTGTCGGCATCGGACCTTCGGGTTCGCTAAGCCTTTTATTATTTTATTTATTATTATAATTATGTTTATTTTAAAAAATGAAAATGTAAGTTTTATTTGTTGCATAAAATGATTCTGGGTTAATATTTTGGTTACTTACTTCACAGTTTTCTTTTAAATTATTTTTAAGTCAATATCAACCCCAGGTTAATATAATTATTATTTTTATAATATAAAAATAATTATTATTCATAACAATTCATTATAACCCATTATATGAGATGTAGTTGAAACAAGGGGCGAACTTGATATTTGATAATAATTTACTATCTGTTAAGACATTTGTTGTATGATTTTTTTTTTTTTTGTTTTTCCTCCTATCCCGTTGGGTGGTCAACAAAGAAATTCAACAATAAAAAAATTGAGAGACTGCAATAGAGTTGAGCATAACGCCTTGCTTACATTTGAGCATGCACTTCGAACAATTACACTCTACCTGACCACTGAGTGACTCCGTCTGACCTCATGCACACCACACTAAGATTAATTTGAAATATTGTTAATGAATTTGTAATTTTACATAATATTAGTGCTAAAAGAAACATTAGACATCCCACCAGTGCGAATGTTAAATTAGCCCACAGCTTAAATAATTAAAGATATACTGAAAGCAAGAAGGGTGTTTTTGGCCAAATTCTTACAAATAATTAATGAGATTTTAATTAATTAGCTGTTATAGGAACATTTAAATGTAGAGAAAATTAGCTTGTACTTTAAAGGCTAACCCCATTATCGTGAGCACCTCAACCTTTACCCACTGAGCACAAACCGAGCTTCGATCACTTTGAAGTATTGACAACACTCGGGACTCGTTCGGCTGATCCCGTATTCATCTAAGTTATGCTCGATTTGGTGCACGCAATCAAGTGCATTAACAGCTTTTAAGGATACAAATGATGAACTTGAATGTCCGTCTTGAAATTAAATAAAAATTATTGATCAAATATCAAGTTCGCCTTTCATGTACGCTCTTCCTCTAATGTCTGATGGTACTTCAGCAAGCTATCACTTTGTCAATTTTTTTAGGCATGGACGTTTTATAATGACTTTGATATATATGGATTTGTTGGTATTCGCCCATCGGTCGTTGCTGAAGAAACTGTTTTGGTCTTGAGTATAGAAGCACTTTTACATCATTGTATCGCCACAGGAAATGGAAGAGGTTAACTTCTCAAAGTCTGGTTTTTATTTGGCAACATTGTTATGTATACTGTAGCATGTGATGAAGAAATAGCGTTCTAGTTAAGGTAAAATGTTGAAAATAAAAAATTAATTTTTTTTTTTTTAGCTGTGGTGGAAGCTGGTGCTTTGCCGCTGCTATTTTCCTGTCATAGAGAATTGAATTATGATAGTGAGGCTTGCATATTGTTAGGCAGGCTCATGATGGAATTGTCCATTTACCCAGAGTACTTGCAAGATCTTTATCAAACTGGTCAGTACATTTGAATATTATCGAGTGTCAGGAATTTATTGCTTTTGTTTACTTTATAAGTCGATAGTAGAATATATCGATGCTTCAAGGATGGATAACAGTGTTAGCGGAATGGATGCAGAGTAACAATCAAAAGCTTAGCATCGCCGCAGCTTCTTGTTTGGCCAATCTCGACGATGATTCTAATCTAAAATACGAAAGAGAGGTTCTTCTTCTACATCCTCCCTTCAAGAATAATGAATCTATAAAAACTGATATTGTTCTCATTCACGGCCTCCTCGGAGGTGTGCATTACACTTGGAGGCAAAGAGGGAACCGTAAAGGTCCGGTTAGTATTTTTGGTGAGTGTCATTCTACAGGGTCTTATTAGCTAAGAACAGAATACTTAATTATAAGTAACCAAAGTTTTTACCTTTTTCTGGCAGGCATTACAAGCCCTGGAGAGTCTATTGAAAATCTTTGTGCCCGAGCAACCAGTCTGGTCATCGATGAAGCTCCTAGCGAGTTGACCGATGATATTCATAAAAAGGAAGAGGAAGTCGAATCTGGATATGTTTTTGTTATGTCAGATATTCCAGTCACCGAATATGCGACTTGTAACACTTGTTGCGCTTTTGAAGGGTAAGAAAATTGTAGCATATATTATATATTATATTATATTATTCAATATATTACATATTGAATTAATAATTAATAATAATGAGTGAGTGAAATAAATAATCACTTAAAGTAATGAGATTTTTATTCGTTATTGATTGAAAAATCACCTGAATAATCTTACTTTATTTGTTATTCAATAAACAATATTAATTGAATTAAAATTTATTCCATGAAAATATTGACTGAATAAACATTATTCAAGGATTAATCACTCCTTGAATACATTTATGTTTTTATTTTTGTAGTATTATAATTATTTTTAGTTTTTATAAAAAATAGCTCAGTGGTAGGACACTAAGGTTCCTATGTTCAAGGTCCCAGGTTCAAATCCGGCTGATGGCAGATAAATTATTTATTATGTTTCATCGGCTGTGGATCGATCCTGGGATCAGGAGACCCTCTTGGGATACTCTTAGCCTCTATAAAGTGGGTAAACCTTAATTGAATGATTAGTTAAGGGAGAAAACTTAGTGGTTGGGCGTGATCTCAGTCAAATCACCTCCTTGCACAACTGTTGAACAAGATACAGTATCTTCCATAAATAATACTGAATTCAAGACCTATCATGTGTTGTAAAGTTACAGGTTTTTTTTTTGTTTTGTTTTTTAATAAAAATTAACTTTTCGGGTTTCTTTGACATAAGGGTCAATTTTTATGTTGTTGGGAGCGATTTTTATCATATAATATTATCGAGGGCTAAACAAAATCTTTCGATGTAGACCATTGGTGTAACGACCAAGGAGCAGTTTGCATCTATCCACTCTCATTTTTTAAAGAAGTAGTTAGCCTTTGTCCTGTCATTATTCGAAATGCAACCATCCTAAGGTCACTTTTTATTATGCGAGACATTGATCTGACATAGATTCCCATTTCCCGAGACATGATTTGTTGTTTTCGAAGGGGATTTCGTCTGATTCGAGCAGCCACTGCTCTCACTGCATTTGCCGTTTTCACAGTGCAGGGACGACCCGGTCGAGGTCTGTCACATACAGATAGGATCTCATTATATATATTTATAATGCAGTATACGAACATATGACTGATACCCAAAGATTTCAAAGTGTTGAAAATCTCTGACCTACATTTTCCAACTATGTGTAAGGCGATCACAGCCATTCGATTTTCTTTATCACCCCACTCCATGTTAACTGAGCTAAAGAAAAATGCAAACTAATTGGGATTATTATCCTGATATGTAAAGAAAATAACCTAATAAAGGTAAGGATTGTCTAAATAATACCCAAGGATGTAAACAAAGTTCAACTTTTGTAACAGTATTTATGGCAGAACTAGGTATACTTATATATATAAGGAAATACTTACCTGCTGAATTGTTGAATTTTAAAATCAAAATATATAGATAGTACTGAAAACAGAGCCTGGGTGGCTGAGCGGACTAACACTTTTGTAAATTATTCATTGCCCGGCAACCTGATGAATTAAAGATAAGATAAAATCCCGGTGCTGAGGGGACTTTTAATTCTGCCGTTAATCCCCACCCTCTCCCCGCACAGGAAAAACCTCATACAGCTGAAAAAGCGAGGAGGGGGAGGAAAAACAATAGTACAGGATTATTGCTGATTTATTCAAAATCTATTGGTGAAATTGCTTAGTATCTTATTTAAAATCTTATGGCTCTCACCACAAATATGTAAATCTGGGCATACCTGGTTCTAAAATCCAGGCTTTCAATTTATTTATTTTTTGTATGTATGATTGTGGACATGTTTAATTTTTGTTTCTTTGCTTTGTTCATTTAAGGCGGTCTATTAATATGGTTTAAATATTTATCTTCAGGAATGACAAGTGTCAAATAGAGCAAGCCATAAGCTGTGGGAATACCAACTGTTGGCCGAAGGACTGGCTGCCTACGGATTGCAAGAACTTGCGTGTGGTCGGCATCAACTATGATACTCGTTTGACTGATTGGAGATCTTGGTGTCCTCTGAGAGATAGAGGGTAATATATCTTCAAAATATTTGATTTGGAGTCGATAAATTACAAATCACTCATCCGTTTTCTCTAATACATTTCTTCTCTTAGCTAGAAAAAACTTTTGGACATATATTACCCTGAACAAAGGGAGAACCTGTTCCCTCAACTTCACTTTAGACAGCTAATTTATCTTACACACAGTCTTTAAATTTTGGGGATGGGGTGGCCGAGCGGGCTAATATATGTGCACAGCACTGCGTGTTGCCCGGCAACCAGGATCGAAGATAATTAGATAAAAATAATTACGAGTCAGCTTTCAGTGCCAAGGGGACCTCTCACCTCTGGCTTCAATCTTGCACCCTCATCTCCCGACTCAAGAAGACCCCCCGGTATAACCTAAAAGGAGAGGAAGGGGAGGGAAAAAAAGTCTATAAATTAAAAAAAAAATTGTTTTTTTTTCCCATTTTTTCAATAACATGCAGTAATTTGTTAGTTAATTTTATTTCAATTACAAGAAGATTTTGTAGTAGATAGCCTCCAGTATTTACCTCTTTATGTGACATTGTGTGAGGGAATGAGAAGGAATATATAGGAATGTGAGGTTGTACGATGAATTGTACTCAACTGTGCAGTGGACAAATTATTCATTGAAAAGTCTCATATCGATAAACAATCGATGAAGAAAGAAGGTTAGAATAGAACGGAGCAGGTAGCAACAGCTGGAGAAGAACGCTGTAGAGAAGAAAGGACACTTGAGGAGACGGAGGCAAGATGACATTACCTGGGGAGAGAAATGTGGAAGCCTACCACATTGAAGATTAAGAATATCAAGCCTACAGTTATAAGACTTTAATAGATTCATTTATTACAGTTGTCAAAATAAATTGTTTTATTGTACAGGAGTGAAAAGTCATTTTATTTAGTTGTCCTATAGGCCTCACAATTGAAGAATAACAAACCAGGTGAGTCAATTCATTTAAAGTGTATTTACTAAGTCCCACATCATATATATATATTCTTATTGTTTCTTCTCACTCAGTGTCACAAAAGGTATTAAATTCCTGAATTCCCAATCACAGTTAAACACCCTCAAAAGTCGATATCCAGATCCGGGGTTTTGTTTTAATAATCACGAATGTAAATAACCTAGTTCTCCGATAAAAAGCGGAAGGCTATTCGCCTATTCCCGCCAAAACTAATTATTAACATTTAACTTTATTTGGTTATTTACATACTTTTATTAACCAGCAACATTTTGTTGTAAAATTATTATCAATTTTTTTTTTATATTTGCTTAATATCATTTTCAATATTCAAATATCTTATACAATCAATGGATTTTTTTAGTTAGTATACATCAAAATATATTAAATATTGATGTAAATATCTGTTTAAAGTGCAACTAGAGTATTAGCGGAGAGGTGCAGAAAATTGCTGCAACAACTCATGGCTTGTGGAATCGGTGAAAGACCTGTCATTTGGATTGCCCACTCAATGGGCGGCCTGCTTGTCAAACATATGCTTATTCAAGGTTTGTTTTAATAACATGTAATAAATAAATTTATATAATTACTAGGGGGCTCCTCCCCTATCCACTTAATAGTGTACCAATCCTCATTTTACAAATTATACAACTGTTCATTTAATTGTATTACTCAAATTGTATAGATGTAATTTAAATGTAGTCTGTAGTTCAGATTGTATTTTTTTAAACATAAAATAAACGGAACAAAACCACAGTTTGGACAAATTTTCTTTTTCTTCTTTTTTTCTTTCTTAAATTTTATTTTCTTTAAAAATCTATATTATAATTCTTGCCAATTTGTAACTAATATATATCAATTTGAGCCTTTTATTTCTAATATTATCATTATACCTTATATTGTGCTTCCTTTTCTATTTCATAATAATTATAATGAAATATCAAGATCAAAAAATAACTGCTGTCATAATGATGTTTTTCTGCCAGAGCTTGCAATAATGTACTAAAATAATTTTTTATATTTCAAATAAAATATTACACAGTTACTGAAAACTTTTTTATATATCTCTCTACCACCTTCAAAAACTGTACGGTACTTGGGTCTCCACTTGGACAAATGACTGACATGGATATACCACATAAAAGAAAAAAAATAAGAACTTAATCAACGATACGGACTTCTTTCTAGGCTACTTGACAGACGTTCTAAATTATCTGTGACTAATAAACTAACTATTTACAAAGTCCTCATTAAACCACTTTGGACATATGGGATCGAACTATGGGGAACAGCTAAGAAATCAAGTATAAAAATCATCCAGTCATTCCAGTCGAAAGTCCTTCGGAAAATTGTAGACGCACCCTTTTACGTTTCAAACCTCACGTTACACACTGACCTTAGCACTCCTTTCATCACGGCAACTGCCACTGACCGCTTTAATAATTTTCATGACAGACTGACTCTAAATTCCAATCCACTTACTCAAGCTCTATGTACTGCCACAAATCCATATAATCCGCCCAGAAGACTGCTGAGGTGCTGACCAAGAGACTTATTGCATTGAGCTACTTGCTGCATTATCTTTTTTTTTTTTTGTTTGTGTGTTATTATGAGTTATCTTACTACTTTTTTTTTTTTTGTCTTTTTGTTTTGTTATTACTATTCTTTTCTTTATGCTATCATTTTTTCTTCTTGATATCATATTTGCTGAATACGGAGGTAGATGGTAAATTTATTGTAAGCCAAGAATATGTATATTATAATAAATAAAATAAATAAATATAACAGAGAGACTTATAAATAAATTAATACCTAACATTAAAAGTGACGATTATTGTCTCTACTAAATAATATTTCTATGTAGTGTATTCTTCTGTAAGTGTTGCTCTTATGTTAGCATAATTAAGTATTAAAAAATTTAATATTGATTTCAAATTATCATTATATATGTCTTTGTTATTATTATTATTGTTTATCTAGCTTGGCATAATTCAAGATCAGAACAGATGAAAAACTTTTATCAAAATACCAAAGGTATTGTTTTCTTAAGCACGCCGCATATCGGATCGCCGTGGGCTACTCTTCATGAAGCTTGGAGAATACTTTTCTTACCTTCTACAGAAGTTGATGAGCTCAGATACAGTATGTATTCCTTGGTAACCAGTGGCAACCAACTACAATCTTAATCTATCGTCTTTTAAATAGATTTTATTTAACTTCTAAAATTAATTTAATAGCCCTCACATCTTTTAATCGGATAGCAATATTGCATTAATATTTCCAAATAAATTTATTTTGTAGGATGTAATTATAAAAATGATCACTTGAGAAGTGATATGTTAACCTTTCAGTAAACAGAATACTGAACTGATCTATGCTAACGTTGCTTTTTTTTTTTTCATAATTGTAAGGGCTATTTACATTAATTTTGTATTGAAGAAGTAGTAGATGTTGGATAATAATGATGGAATTGTATTTTTATAAAGTTTTTTAATTAGAAAAAAAATTTAATTAATTTGAAACATGAAGAAATTTTTTTACTTCTGTCTCATGCCATAGAATCCCCTAATCTCATATGAACAAAGTTTTACAAGAAAAAAATATACGTTCTTTTCCACCATAAAATCTTCCATGCCTTAAAAAACATTATTTGATATATAAAGGATGTTTTAATGTACAAAAAGACGTTGTGTTATCATCAATTGATATTTAATTTTTTTTATATATATGTATGTATGGCTTTAACAAATACATGGTCGCTTTACATGGTAATTTCTCATGGAAAAAAAGTAAAATTACATTTTAAGAGTAACGCAGATTGAAAAAAAAATTATGATAAACATTCCTTTTAATTTCTTTGTCGATTTAGGATGTTTTCAGTATTTGTTTATTTATATAGGCTTTCTTTTATCGAAAACAACCTCTGGCTAGCGTTAGAGCCAATATAATTTTCAGTATACATATAATTCATCACTCATCTGTAGTAGACATCCCCCTGTATTTACTCCTTTAGTTGACATTGTGTGAGGGAATGAGAAGGAATATATAATATATAGGAATGTGAGATTGCACTGTGAATTGTACTCAATTGTGCAGTGGACAAATTGCTCTTTGGAAAATCTCATATCGATAAACAATTGAAAAGAAGAAAAAAGGTCCGATCAGGTAGCTGGCAACAGATGGTGAAGAGGACGCAAAACACTTTAGGCCTGGACACCAACACAAGAAGACGTCATCTGGGAAGAGAGGCTTACTACATTGAAGACCAAGATTATCAAGCCGACCTTTCACTTATATATATTCATTTATTATCAATTGTTAAAATAAATTTGTTTTGTTAGACAGGAGTGAATAGTCATTTTATTTAGTTGTCCTATAGGCCTAACAATTGAAGAATAAACCAGGTGAGTCAATTTATTCAAAGTGTTTACTAAGCCCCACATTTCATATATATATATATATATATATTCTTATTGTTTCTTCTCACACAGTGTCATAAAAGGTAATAGATCCCTGAATTCCCAATCACAGTTAAACATCCTCAAAAAGTCGATATCCAGTGGCGGGGTTTTGTTTTAAAGATTCACGAGTCTAAATAACCTTAAACCCCGATATAAAAGCGGAAGGCTATGCGCCTATTCCCGCCAAAACTAATCATTTAAAATTAATTTCCTGTAGGTTATTTACACATCATGTGGTATATATACATATTTTTTAACTTTTCAGTCTAATTCAGAAAAATTTATTTTAAAAGACTGGAGTTAGGGCTTATTAATTTATGTGGAAAAATTTGTATTGTGTGCTATATTATGTTTTGGTGTTTTAATAAAGTACCCAGAACATTTAATTATATCTTCTATGCTTTTTTATCTTGTGGCATTGAGAAATGCCTCTTCTCAGGGTATTTAGTTCTCAATCCAGCGTGATTTGAATAATGCAAGCATTTTTATAATTATTACAAATAATTACTATTGAAATGAGAAAGGAATATGGGAGTAACAAAAACATTTTTTTTTTTCTAAATTTCTAAAAAATGAAATTTATTTTCTAATTGACAGTTGGTATTGTTTTACAGAATCACCTATTCTTCAGAAGCTACACGAAGAATTCAAAAAATTCATATTTGAAAACCCAATGGAAATAATATCATTCGTAGAAACGAAGAGTATGAAACTGACAACTTTCGAATGGGAATTTCATTGCGTGCCACCCGATTTAGGAGGTATATTTATTACTAAATAGAATATAAAACTTATTTAAAAAGAAACAACAAAAAATTATTTTTTTTTAATTTATATTTTTTTGTGTGTCCATAGATCCTGGGTTTGGTACTATCTATGAAATCCCTCTGGGTCATATGGACATTTGTAAACCAGACGGGAAGTAAGAAGTATTATTATTAAACATTTGTTTATTTGTACATTAAGGCTTAGAACATTATTTATTCTACTAATATAATTGATCCTAGATTTTTTTTATTTATTACAATTTATTTCTCTAGGTTTTCGTTTATATATCAGCGGATACTAGCGCTTGTACGCTCAATAGTACCTAATAAAGTCTAATAGGTAAGTGATACACGAAAAAGTTATATTTGTTAATAAATGTTCTTCATTTTTTTGTTGTTTATTTTTTTTTTATAATTTTTTTTTTGGCACAGATTTTCATTTTACTTATATCTATGTGAATTTCTATTTTGTCTATCGAGTTTAAATTCTCTTCCTAATTAAATATTAAATCTAATCTATTTCATCATCGAATTGAGGTAAAAGAAAAAAAACCTACGCTTGATAGTAACTAGGTTCGAGAAGAGACAATCTGTTCTACAATAACTTGCCAGTTTTCAAGCCTTCTGCAAAGTTTATTTCTTCTTATCTATAAAAACTACCTACTACTAAGAGCCGATGTTTTTTTGTTTTTTTAAAACATTTTACAAAAATATTCGAAATATTTTTTTTTATAACTTAATGCACGATTCCCTCTTGGCCGATGTCTGTCGGGACATTTGATTGTCATGGGAATTTTCCATAAATACTTTGAGGATATGACTTAGATGTATGTTATAATGACATCATTCTTAATCATTTCTTATCACAAATTATACCTCACTATTTGTTTGTATTAATTTTACCAGTTCTTTGTATAAGAAGCACTCCCTGTAACAGAAGAAAAATACAGTGAATTAGTTATTATATATTAAAAAAAAACTAAGGTGTGTGCTTAAGACCACATAATGGGAAAACATCAACAAGGCGAGAATAATAATATAAAATATAAATTTTGAATAATAGCTCCTTACAAAGAGAATGAAATAATGAACATTTTCCCCGCTAACTATATGCAGGTCTGGTTTTTAGTTTTTGAGATACTTTAATCCATATGCAAGATAAAACCTCTGGTTATTAATGAGGACGCCAAAGATATCCTTGGCCTCAGAAACTGGAAAGCAGTCGCAAGGACTATAGATGACTGACGGTTTAAGCTACAGGAGACCCTGGCTCAAGCTGAGTTGTAGCACTGGTTAATTAAGTTATGAATAAAATAGCTCATTTAAGCGATCTACTCTATATATATTACAGTAGTTTAGATATTTTTTCCAGCTCTAAGGAGTAATGGATTTTGATTTTTTTCCAGCTCTAAGGAGTAGTGGATTTTGATGAATGAGGTATCAAATTTCATGGAAACGTGATGAGATGGAATATATTTTGTTTTAAAGATTTCATTGCGGACATCAAGACCTGTTATAGTTCTTTACATTTTCAAAGAAATATGGTTACGTTCTCCATTAATTACTTAGATACATACTTTAGATTCTTCAAAGACACAACAGATGCACTAGACAATCCTCGGCCGGTTCCAACACTCTTGCCCAGACTTCTCAGTCTTCAGCAAGTGACAGTGAAATGCCATACGTAGCCTGTTTTGCAGTTAGACTGATCTTCCACGCACTCTCACTCCTTCTGAAAGGCCAGAATAGAGTTTTTTGGCTGTCCGGTCATTGTCCATTCATAATGGGTGGTCAGCCATCTCAGCTGTTGCAATTTTACAAATTCTGAGACTCTTAGATAGTCCATAGTTATTGTAAATTTCAGGTATTTTTCATTGACGCCACTCTCCATTCCCTTTAATTGGACCCAGCACACGTCTGAACAGTTTCCGCTCAAACATGCTGCTGTACCATTTAACACCCATGTCTCACATGTGTAGGTCACAATGTGTCTTGTTAACGTTTTATGTAATCTTATCTTTGTTGTGCAACTGATCAATTGACTCTTTAGGAGATGCATGATTGAGTATAATGCTTTATTGGCAGCGACAATACAAGTTTTGATCTGTTCTTTCAAAAAAAAAAAAAAATAAATCTGTACCACTATAACCCATAAAGGGTCTTGGGTTCAGTATTATTTAGGAAAAGCACTGTTTCTTGGTCTACGGTTCTGCAAGGGGGTGATTTAACCGAGATCATGCTCAACCGCCAGGTTTTTCCCATTAACTAATTATTTTAATTAAGGGTACCCACTTTATAGTGGCTGGGTGTGCTACAGGACCTTTTCTTCCAAGGCCATCCAAGATATTTGAATCTAGAGACATTTTCAAAGGAGCTGTTGCAAAGTATGTACATATTCTGGGGATACCTCAAATTCTTTCTTTTACTTGAAGACCAAATGTGTTTTCCTGGAATCTTCGATGGTTTAGAGGAGGGACCTTGCAGCGATGGCGACATCATCAGCATATGTATTCTAGTAATTGATAAGTTTTATTGAATTACTTTCTTCCCCCCTATATCCAGATGTGCACGCATGATAATGCATTGAGAATTTGAGAATAATATTAAAGAGAAGTGGTGGAGGTCCTAAGACCAGTATTGACATATTTTAGATTAGATATTTTAAAAAGATAATGTTTAAAAAAACTAGTTGAACAGTAGCACTGCGTAATACAGTTACCGACTACCATGGTTATCGCTGTTACATATTAGGTCAGGTAGGCTCAATTTTGTACTCAGGGGCATGTGACATCACATGGGCAAAAAGGGCAGAGGGGTTGGGGACCGCTATCTTAAGTATTTAACAAAGGAGCAGAAAGTAGGAAAGTTGATATTTGATCTTTGAAGATCCATTTATAAACATATTTAAGAAATATATTTGATAACTAATACATAAGAAGTTACATATTTTGACACTCAAAGAATATAAATACTTGATATAGTTTATATGTTTAAATGATCATATTACCTGTTCTTTGGCTTACATATGTTCCTATGGTCCAGAGGTATTCCGTATAATTCACCTACTTCAGCATCTGCCATTTAAAATGAGAGTATATGATGTTAGCAAAATATTTAATATTCTACAATGTTTAAACTATATTTATAAGTGAATATTTACCAGCGGATTCTTCTGATACTATTTTCACATAGACGAATCCCATCAATGTTAACCTCGTTTCAATAAAACTCTTAATGGTAATCGCTAAATCTTTTGAATTTAACAATTCCTTGAATTTGTGATGCAGAGTCAGTACTTCTTTGCAATCTGAAATAAAAAATTATTGTTAATTGTGTGATTGGTTTTATTTAATATAGATAAAAAAAATTTGAGATATTAGTACAAATTAGACTGAATTGAATGTTACACAACTGCGATTTTTATTCTATGGTGGCTTGTATTTATAGGGTACATATTTACCTTCATACATTGACAAATTATGAAAAAAAAACAAATTTACTCATTAAAAAAAAATGTATCTGGATGGTATATATATTGTAATGATAAATGTTTAGCTGAAATTTAAATTGATAATATTTTATATAAATTTTAGTTCGAAGGCAGTTTTAAATTTGTGGTTTTTTTATTATATAAAATTAAAATTTTATTTAAAATGAAGTAAATTTTTTTTTATATTTATTATTTTAAGTAAATAAAATGAGCTAGGGTATTTTTTTCAGAAAATAAAACAGTATTAAATTGAATGAAATATAAAGTTAAGTGTGTCGTAAAACAAGTGCTGTCTAGATATATGAAATTGAACTTTTTTTTTTTTAGACATATTTAAAAGCAAACTTAATTAGAGACTTGATTTTATAATTTAATTTTAACTTTTTTTATTGAGTTCTACCAATGGGTAGTTTCTCTTCATGTTGTACATGTCATGTTACCAATTTCACATTTACTTATTGTATTTTCTATGTAATACAGTTGTAAATTCCATTAAAATAATAAAAAAAATTTAACTTTTATTAAAAAATAAAAATTTTAACAATATATTGGATTGGCAATTTTGAATTTTTGACATCAGATTTATTTTAAGCAACCCACAAAATCTCTTAATCTTTCCATTTTTTGAAATTTACAACTTATTTCACCTGGTATACTGAATCAATCCTTTAATTTTAAGGAATGATTTTCATCCTTAGCTATATAAATTCTTCTTCACTGTTATTTATAAGGCAATACTATCCAAGAATAAAGTTAATTTTTAATAGTGGATTGATGGTTGATATTAATAAAAATCGAAGAGGAGATGATGCCGATATTCAGTTCAAAATACAAAGAAAAAATAAATAAATGATATTTATTTTTGCCGACGCTTCGGCCCAAAGTTTAGGCCTTCATCAGGGCTGAACTTTGGGCCGAAACGTCAGCAAAAATAAGAATAAATATCATTTAGTTATTTTTACTTTGTATTTTTGACTGGACACGTTTCCTTCAAAGTTCATTTTTATTCTAAAATTAAATATTCGTCAATAGCTATGCAATTATATCAAAAGTTTCATTGAAATTCTTGGCATTCTATATTTACTTTTCAGTCCAATCGTGTTTTACTTATAATCCGTGGTAGAGACTCCATTTTATCGAATTATTAACATCCGCCTGAAATTTCGTATAAGGTTTCATCTCATCGTAACCTACAACTAGTTTATTTACGAAAACTCTTGCAATTGGGGCGTTTTCAATCTGGAGGAGGACAAACTTTGTCTATTTAATTTAGACATAAAAACTTATAAATACCTATTTGCTTTCTACTTTTATCGTAAGATAATTTGATCACAAAATCAATAAAAAGGGTGTCCTAAAAATATTTTGGACCGTTTGTCCTATATAACCACGTTATTTTAAAATTTTGGGGGTGTAGGTTACACCAAACAGCTAAATATTTTTGAAGGCCACATTTTTTCTCAATTTTGTGATCAAATTATCTTACGATCCAAGTAGAAAGCAAATGAATATTTACGAGTTTTTAGTACCTAATTAAATAGACAAAATTTGACCCCTCCCTGCAGATTGAAAACGCCCCAATTTCAAGAGTTTTCGTAAATAAAATAGGTGTAAGTTACCGTGAGATGAAACTATTTACGAAGTGTCAGGTGGATGTTGATGATTCAATAAAAAGAGGCCTGAATCACGAACTCTTAAACTTACTTCTTATCTGTAATTTTTGTTAGTTTATTAACTACTTATGAAACTTGCCTTTTTGAACTTCACACAATTCAATAGACTTCCTCAGAAGTGGTATTCTCAAGTTGGCCAGTATCGATCCTCGATGCGGCACACTGTAGAATATTACTCCTCTCGTCTTATTACTGAGATCTCTATACTTATCTTCCGATGCTTCGCAGGCTTTAAATAAATAAAATATAAAATATAATTAGAGAGCGTATTTTATATTAGTGTAAACAATTGTTATCAATATTAAGTTTATCGAGTGCTTACCATTTACGAGTACCTGTTTTACATACAGCCCACCTTTGGAATGTCCGACCCAAAATATAGAGTGCTTCCCAACGCCTAAATCGACTAGACTATCAATCATTTCCCAGGATCTCTCCGACATCCCAGACCTGAAAAAAAAATTATAGCTGTAATTGGTTTCCAATGCTTCATAATATCTTTATTATGTTATGTTTAATTTATCAATTAAATTATGAAAGAACATAGATTAAAAACAACTTATGAAATTTTATATTTAGTTGACTTGTTCTTTCATCAGCATTTTGTTCCTGTATAAAATTGGTACTGAACTTGTCAAGAAGTGACTAGATATACAAGGTTAATTACATTACACTTATAGTTATAGTTAAGAAAGGAAAGTATATGAGTCATTAGGGTTGAAGAGAAAACTCTAGAATAAGTGGAAAACTTCAAATACCTAGAAGCACACTAAATGTAAATGGCTATATCGGTTTGAAGGTGACTGAACAAATCACAGCGGATCGTTCTACGGAGAAGAATTTTGGGTCCTATATGGGAAGATAATCTCTGAAGAAGAAGGAAAAATCGGAAGATTTACACAATCTTTAAGCAGATGTTTGATGGATCAGTGTGAGGAGATGTGGTGAGGTATGAAACCTCGCAATGAGGGATGAGAATGAAATCTCCCCCAAAATATAGCTATGGAAACTCTCTATCAAGCTAGAAGAGTGGAAGGACACAAAATGAGATGGTTGAACAGCGTCCATGTAGATGCCAAGAATATTCTTGGATTAACGGACTGAATGGCTATAGGGATGAATGGCAAAAACATTTGGTGGGGGCTCTTCAGCAATGAATTGTTGTGGTCTATACTCGTATGTATGCATGCACGTATGTAGAAAAAGAATACTAATCAACTGAAGATCGACAGCTTGAGAGGGCTCTCTAGACTTCCTCATCTCATAACATAAGCAATTCGTAACAACAAGTTTTACATTTTAAAAACAACATATCAAAATTATAATTAGGAATACTTTGACTCCTGAGAAAAGGTTTTAAATTTCATCTCGATCTTTGATTTCTCATAATATAGACATGATTTACAATCTTTACAATAGGTAACAGCACTATTGGTAGGTCTTGGATCTAACAATAATAAACAAATTAATTAAATGATGCTTGTTCTGAGCTGGTTTCGATTGTTTTTATAATGGCTCAAGCCTCGTACCAAACAAGGGATTATAAGGAGAAGGAGATTTTCAAGATCCTACCTAAACCAGCATTTGGCATGTTGAAAAACGTTTAAAATGGAAACGTGTTTAATACTAACACTTAACTCAAGAAAGCAGTATTAGCAGTGCAAAACATTACATACAGAAGAAATGGATTCGATATTAACAAACATTTTAGTTTGTTAACAATTTTTAGCAATCCCCGCTACCTAAAGTACTCTCATCTATGAATAATCCTAACGTACGCGATACTACTCACCTTATATGTTTCGGTACCCATACAGGCCTCCAGAGGTAGGGATCAGTGGTATAGTTTATGGCAATTACTCTTGCGTACGGGCAGTCCTTTGGCAGCCAATCGCGTGGCCAGCATATAGACTTAGGATCCGAGTTTTTGTCTTCTTGTATTTCTACTTCCCAAGCAGTTTGTTTCTCTTCTCGGAGGTTTAAAACCTTTAAAAAAACAATATATTATAGAGGCTGGATTTAGTCAATTCTTAATCCGCAACATATATAAGAGAATAAATCAAATCAACAAATATTTAGTAGTTTTAAACAAAATATATATAATATATTTTTTTTATTTGAAAATTAATACATTCTGCCGCATTGGAGGGCATTAATATTAGGGCTACGTTAAATATTCGCACAATATATACATACAAATGATAACAAAGGCAAAAAAAAAAAGAAGAAAGAAAAAAAAATAGAGAAAAGCTAAATGACATTAAAATATATAGAACACATTCATACCTATATACAATATTTACATTCTCCCAGAGGATTCCGAGTCATGCTTTGTCCCCCAAATGTGGAAGCCAAGGCAGGACCCCTGGAGATCCCAGTGCTTCTCTCCCAGCCGCGTCACTGGTATTACAAGCCAGTGGAGGCTGATAGAGGGCACTAGAGCAACAGACGCTCAGGACATGAGTGGAGAATCTGGCCATTGCCAGAACTCCAATATATACATTTTTACAAAAGGTCGCGGGGCCACTGCCGCTTTAACCTCCGAGGAGGATTGTAGGGATGGCTGGAGCTAGATAGGGATTGTGCTACAGGATTTGGATGATGAAAGAGTTTCTGGTGAAATTTGGAAAATTTGTCTGGGATTAGGTCAATAACAAATGGGATATGAAGGTCATTATGGAGGGTTTTGTTGGATACATAGTAGGGAGCATCGACTATTGTTCGGAGGACTATAGACTGAAAGGATTGAATGTGCTTAATGTTAAAACGTTTTGTTGAGCCCCACAGCTCTAGTCCGTAGGTCCAGATAGGTTTGAGGATTGTATTGTAGATTAGTAGTTTGTTGTCGACTGAAAGTTGAGATTTTCTATTCATTAGTCTATATAGCTGTCCGAATCGTCTGTTTAGTTGTTGTCTTTTAAGTCTGGTATGTGGGTTCCACGTTAGTCTTTTATCTAGAAGAAAGCCAAGATACCGGACTGTGTCGGAGGAGAGAGGAAGTGGTATGGATTTGAAGTAGACTGGTGGACAGGTCTTGCGCCGAAGGGTAAAAGTGATGTGTTTGGATTTGGTGCCACTTATTACACCAATGTATATACAATATAAACAACATATTTAAACTATAATATTGCAATTCCTATAATTCCGCTACAAGACATTTTCATTTGGAAATAATTTTTAATTAATAAATTTACATTTCTGTTGATAAAGCCGTCTATGATATTATTCTGCCAATCTTAAATGCGATAGTTTTTTTGTCACTTTTACGTTTATAAAAGGAAATTACATTTATCATCCATACCTGAAACCTTGTCAAACCCCATCCTCCTTGAGTCCACGTCTTTTCAAGAGCACCTTTTATTCCATGAACAAAAATTATGTCAGCTTTACGAACTTCCGACCCAGGGTCGTGAAGGACTTCGCAGTTGACTATCTTTTCTTGGCATTTTTCTTCATGTAACCTGTCTAATAGACCCTTTACAAGCCAATTATTTACTGTAATATGAAGAACATCACCTGCAATTATAATAAATAATGTATTGTATTGTTAAATAATAATGATTTATAAATATTAAAGAAAATATTAAAATATAAAAGTAATATGTTTACAATGGTATAATCTAAAGAAAAACATAATTTCAATGAAGATTTTACAAATATAAATCAAAGTTGCTGAAACTTGTCTTGTGACGAAATCGGATATTTCAAATAAAAAAATTTTTCTTTCTATTACATTTAACACCCACTGTTGAAGTGAATTACCAGTTTTATTATATAAATACATGGTATAATTCATAGTTTTTTGTTAGGTTATACTTGTTGCTATATTAATTCCACCAAAACAGCTGGTAATTTTGTTTTTAAATTATCTATTTTCAATGTTGTAATTTTTCTAAATTGCGGCAGAATAGATATATTTTTATTCTTTATTGTATATTTATTCATATAAGCACTTCATGGTTTTGATGGTAATGAAGTTATCCTATTCAAATATCAATTTTGATTGTTTTAAAAACCATATGTTATGGTAAGTGCAAAGAAATGATATCTAATAATTGTTGAAGGATTTTGTACCATTCCTGATTCATTTATTTATTATTGGTAATGGACTCTAAAGCTAAAAAAAAGTGGTATGATTCTTCACAAGTTGTTCCAAATTCTCGAAAGCCTACCTAGTTGATATAAATATCATATCAGGATCAAAGAATTAAATGGATGTTCCGGGGTACCACGGGCGGACATACGGGGGAGGAGTGGCTTTCAGGCTGAAGCCCCCTCCTCTCCAAAACGGTACAGTATAACCATGTTTTATGAATCTTTAAAAGTATTATTGTTGGTCTAATTACAGTTAATAGGACTTCAATTAAAGACCATTTCATATAAGTAGTCTCTTTCTTTCTTCTGAAGTCATTATTCTAACGTATTTGTACAAAAAAAAAAACAACTTTCGAGCTGAAGCCCTCTCCAAAATTAAATCCTGGATCCATTAGTGCCTGATGTTATATGTCATGTAGGAGGAGGAAATATTTTAAACCCATTTGACTGTCACTATCTTTGGGATAAATTTTATTTTTAAGGAACTGTTGTTATATTTCATTGAATTTGGATAGGAGAGAGTACTTTATACACAGGAACACATTTGTGATATCTTGTTATTAAGTTTCACAATATTTTCATCGCCAATTATAGATTTTAAAAATGTAGTGAGGGAGAAAATTTTTTAATTAATAAATTCTAGTTGTATGATCTCTCTTATTTTTAAATTTAACAAAGTTTTTTTTTTTAATTTTATAAAGGATAACTTGAGATTTGATGCGGAGGACAACATGAAAATTATTAAAACGGTCCTCGCTTGCTAAAATTAAACCAACACATAAAAAACCTACTAGAGACGAAAAAATATTTATTCGTTTTTAATATAAAATTGTTTTTAAGAGTTTTTTTTAGTTGCAATAAAATAATATCAACTTTTTTTCTCTCTAAAAAAATATTTACTGGCAGATAGCTGTAGGATTAATACAAAATTAAAATGAATTGGATCAACTAATGTAGCAATATAGAGGTAAATATTTTTTTAGGGAAAAAAATCGATATTGGTTTGTGGATGGAAGGAGAAAAAGAAGACAACGGCTGAGACGTTGATTAAGTTGAATGCCACAGAAGTGCATCGATGAAACCCATACCGTTTTAATGTTGTGATTTTGGTGATAATGGTATACTTGACAATAAATATTGTTGTTTGTACTTACCTACAGGTATAGCGTTGAATAGCACCTTGGGGTATATGTTGTCCAACTGTACCGTACTCAATTGCTTCTTTATTATATCTATTATTTGCCATTGTTTCTTTACCCAGCTATAGTATATTGATATAATCACAGGTACAACAAAGCCAAAATAGCTCGATAACACTTGAACTTTGCTGAAAATGAACCTGTAACTATTATTATTATAATTATTATTTCTTTATAATTAATTAATTTGTATTTAAAAATAAATTATGGTTATTTTTAATAATAATCCAATGTATTCATTTACTTTGAATATTTATAAAGTCAATTTTTTCTCTATATAAACTACATATCATATTGCCTTCTGGTACAAATAATAGTTCAAATCAGTCGAATAAAAAAGATATTAAATGAAAAATTGGTCCGTAATTGAAATTGATAACCATTCCAATTGAGTTGCTTAAAAAACTACAATTTTTGAGTTGTTCCATTATTTGTATCGGAATGGGATATAATATGTTCCTTATAAAATTGTAATTTTTGAACAACTTTCTTATATAAATATTTATTACTTTATAGTAAAAAAAGTTATATATACCTCTAATTAGATATAAAAAATTTAATCTGCTCTAATACCTTAATAAAGAAACATTAATAACACAATAAATTTTAAAAAATTCAATGTTCAGACATATTTTTTTAAATAAATAATTATTTATGTCCCCAACATTATTCAAACTAAAATATGACGTTACACTTTACCAGCCTAAAGATAATTGGTAGGTTACACTAGCAGATTCAAGTAGATAAAGAATATATTACTTTCACTTGCCTATATATGCAATATATAGTAAGGGAATACACGTTTTGAGATACCCTGAGTCCAAATAACCAAGTCCCGAAAAATGGTCTGTGTGTATGTGAACGTCGTACGAAACTGATATTACGTATTTAAGATAGGTATATGCCTTAGATGTGGTAGCAACTTTTCCCTTAAAATCGGCTAACTGGAAGTGCCACTTTATATCAACACTGAAACACACTTTTGCAATTTTCTCACAAACGCGGCTCTAACGATTTTGATTAAACTCGGTGTATCAATGTACAATTAAGTGGTTTTTAATACCATTTTGGTCTTATCCTCATTGATGTCGCTTTACAGGGTTTGAAATGCCCAATGTTCATATGCGTCTTCCTCTAAAGTACCTTTAAAATGGTTCATTTTAAATAATTAACTATCTCTCATTATTAAGAGTTACAAAAAAATGCTAAATATAACTTTTGAAAGAATTGATAATTGAATAAAGGAGAAAAAAATAAAAATGCTTATCCAGTTCGAAAAAGAATCTGCGGAGATACTAGTCAGAAGGTATACATACACGGGCGGATCTACGGGGAGGGGGGGCTTTCGGGCTGAAGCCCCCCCCCCCCAAAATGGAAAAATATAACCATGTTTTATGGGAAAAAAATTTATAAAATACCTCTTGAAGTACTATTCTTTGTGTAATTACATGTAATACTACTTAAGGAATAACTTAAACACCATTTCATATATGTAGTTAGTTTCTTTCTGTTTTCCCAAAGTAATTATCGTTATTTTTATGAAAAAAAAAGGTTTCGGGCTGAAGCCCCCCCCCAAAATTAAATCCTGAATCCGCTAGTGTATACATATAATATATTATTGGAAAGCCGAGAATTTTAGAAAAACAATATCAAATATAAAAAGCTGTAGAAGGTAACGGAGTGTAGTGAAAAAATTATAAATAATAATTTTTGAGAACTAATAATATTTAACTTAAATCACATATTTTCAAGGAAATTAAATGAAATTTACTAACTAAATGTAAACTTTATAACTCTAGATATGACATTATATTTAAATATTTAGGTATCTATCGTCCGTTTATTCCGAAAAATCATCATTTAACCTTTTAGACAATAAAATTAGTGAATAATTTGATGAGTTTTCCCTTTGCGACATTTTAACAGTATCCACTTACAATTAGTTTGACAACTTTTGATCTATCTATGAGAGACAAAGCAAATCTCCGTAAATTCCGTTTTTGTAAACTGCAATGGAAAATAACAGGTTAATAACCAATAGTCTGACAATACATAATCAATGGATCCTACAATCCATCATCAACCGGTGATATAATAAATAGTCTTTTGTAATTTTAATAGTATTTATGATTTGTTAGCTGCAATCTTTTAGCTTTAGCTTAGTTAAAAATGGATTCCAAAATTTTATAATAGCCCAACATGGCCAGAAAATAATTTCTATTCAAAGTTGAGCGGTAAGTGAAAGTTGTGCGTTACGCGCACCAGATTTTTTTTGGTCAAAATCGGTTTACCGGAAGTGACACTTTATAACATCGATTTAACACATTTTTATCATTTTCTCGAAAACGGCTCTAACAATTTTGATTAAATTCATTATATCAGTGTAAAATTAAGCAGTTTTTAATATAATTTAGGTTATATTCTGATTGATGTTTTCCATCAGGGCTTAAATGGCTAAGTTTCAATATTAGCTTCCCTTGAAGCACCTTTACATTTTTTTTATTTGAAGCAATTAACCATTTTACACTGGTCTGTAATATAAAAAATAGTTAAATATAACATATGAAATAATATGATAATTAACTAAAGGAGAAATAAGAGATCGTAACAGAGAATAGTTGTAATGGTGGAACCAAAGGAATAAGAGTTCGCCCGAAAGGTTAATATAATACGTACTCCGGCAATATTATGTACATATACATATACGGTTTTCATAAATGCTATGGTTTGTATTATTTAATATTTAATTGTGTATATCACAGCGATATAAATATTAACATTTGTATTTAAAAGGGTCTCGCCTCCTGTCCCGAAACTTAAGAATTAGAATTTACAAAACCATTATCCTACCTACAGTTATTTATGGATGCGAAACGTGGCCGCTTACATTAAGGGATGAGCAACGTCTTAAAGTTTTTGAAAATAAAGTATTGAGCAGAATATTCGGACCGAAAAAGGACAGGTCAACCGGAGAGTTTAAGCGGTTACACAACGCTGAGTTGCGTGAACGGTATCCGGTTAATATAATTGAGGTGATTAAGTTGAGACGAATAAAATAGGCATGTGAAATCGCTGGGCTTAGTACCGGCTGGCAAGCGTCCGAGGGGTAGACCAAAGCGAAGATGGGTAGATTGCGTTAAGGTTGATTTGGGAGGGTTGGGTTTAGATGGAGCCCGGTGGATGGGAGAATGTGGACATCGATTGGTGGTATCGGTTCGCTAAGCCTTATTATTATTTAAAAAGGTACATAAACAAATTAAACATACCCACAACGAAATATAAATAAATATAACGTCTATAATTTTTACTTTCGCTTCCCCTTTATTTGAAAATACTTATTTCTGCTAAGAGGATGGTAAGTGAAAGTTGTGTGATTTGCGGATCGCATCATATTATTTTCTTATTATGAAGTATATAAGTTGAAGTGGTTTGAAAGTTTTATAAATTATTTAGTATCGTGATTCCTGGATATTAAAATTAATTGAACGAGTTGGCTATTGGCTTATCACAATGGCAGTGAAGGCGACCCATATCACACGATGGAGTGATTTATCTATTAGCTTCATTGGCCTCGAAGGGCAGACCCCGAGTCTGGTAGAGATGTTATCAACCTTTACTGTCAGCGGTCGTTTCTGTCTTCGTTTCGAATGAAATGCAATCTATATTTCATCAAAATTCTATTCAGGATTTCGTTTATAATTGAGCCCTTAAATAGCTTTAATTATAGCATTTTTTTTCGATTTCCGTTTGTTGTAAACGGGTAATTTACAATTCAGTGGGTTACTGATTTAACCAAAATGTTTTCGGTGATACTACATCGAAAAATATTATACAAACGTCCTGGCGTTCCTTCCAATGAAGGGATAAAAAAATATGTTATATATTAGGTTAGCAAATAAGTCCTTTCGGTTTTTCTGTTAATTTTTTATGTAACAATGATACGCTTCTTATCTGACGAATTAACCCCTAAGGTGGATTGTTTATCCTGTTTGTTATATGTCAGCAACTATATCTGTTAACTCTTGTTGAAACCAGAGTTCATTCATTATCGGCATATTTTGTTGTATTATTTTTAAAAAAGTAAGCCTGCTGCAGAAGCTCATAGAATAATTTGCAGTGTTTATAGGGATGATGCCTTAACCGAACGTACCTGTCAAAATTTATTTTCCAAATTCCATTCAGGTTTTTTTGACATCAATGATGCTCAACGGTCTGGTCGCCCACATGAAATTGAAACGAGCAATGTTAAGGCCATTGTTGATCAAAATCCCAATCAGTGCTAGAGATTTCTATAGCTCTAAAATGCACAGGCGGATCTACGGGGGGTTTTTCGGGCTGAAGCTCCCGAAAATGGTAAAATATAACTATGTTATACAGAAAAAAATATGATAAACTATCTCTTAAAGTATTCTTGTTCGTGTAATTACATTTAATAAGACTTCAAGAACTACTTAAACACTATTTCATATAGGTAGTTAATTTCTTTCTTTTTTTTCAAATTAATTATCGTTATGTGTGTACAAAAAAAAAATCTTTCGGGTTGAAGCCCCCCCTCCAAAATTAAATTCTGGATCCGCTAATGCCTAAATGTGTCGCACACAACCGTAGACAACGATTTGCACAAGCTCGGCTGTTCTCAAGCTCAATGTTTGGGTTCCTCGTATAATTTTTTTTTCTTCTAAAATTAAAAAAAATGTTATAGTTTCAATACGGCTTTAGCTATATAAAAGAAATTTAGCAGGAATTCTGGGCCACATAAACTACTGAAATGTTACGTTTTGGGGTGTTAAATATATCTGGATACTACTGGATAATTATTGAGGATAATTACCCAGAAATTTTTAATAATTATTGATAATAAAAAAATATTAAAATAAATTTGGATCTATAATATATTAATTGGTCCAGAATTAATTAATTGGATTTCTTTTCTCAAAGGATGGTTTGTATTTATCATGCTTTCCAATTACAAACCTTATTTTTTTTTTATAAATAAAAGCTTTATTCAATTATAAGCAATTTCCCTCAAATTCTGCCATTACTCCTCCCCACAAAAAAAAAAATCTGTGTCCACTCACGCGACTTTCCTACCTATTTCAGAAAAGTTTTTATATCTTTACGTATGTTCATAAAAAAACAAACAAAA